TTGCCTTTTTTCTGTAGGGAAAGTCTACTACTTCCCAAGTGTTGTTATCTTATAGGCCCTTGATCTCTTTTTGTATAGCTTCAACCCACCTAACATCTTGTGAAGCTTCTGAGAAAGACCTTGGTTCTACGTCCGTTGAAATGGCTATTAGATAAGCTCGGTAATAAGTTGAAAGATTGTCATAAGACACATATTGTGAGATAGGGTAGGAACTATGATTGGAGGAGTTCCCAGTAGTATAATAATCTTTCAGCCAAATAGCATGTTTGACCCCTCTAGCTGATCTTCTAAGGGCAACTAATGGTACTCGTTGAAGCACATGAGGATCTGCAGTAGGTGCAGTCTGAGGCAAATGATCATTGGGCTGAATGACTAAGGGATATACAATAGGTTTTGGTAGTGCATAATGTATTTGATCATGTGTCTCTTCCTATGTCATTTCTCCTGATGCAAGTATTGAAGTCCCAAGTTCTGGAATGACTTCATGTTCTTAGAATGATTCAACTTGGCCATCTTGATCGGTATTGTGATCACTAGTATGATCAAGTTGCATATCCCTGCTACTTCTTTCCAAAACTTCAGTTCTATCTGCAGTATTAAGAAGAAATAGATCCTCATATTCCATGTGATTGTGGTCAGTCTGGAAAGGAAACACATTCTCTCTGAAGTTGATATCTCTGTTAACTAGGAAGGTGTTATTATCTAAATCAAGCAACCTGTAGCCTTTTTGAGTCTCTAAATACCCTAAAAAGACAGTTCTTCTTGCTCTTGGGGCAAATTTGTCACCTTTAGGTAATGTGCTTGCATAGAACAAACAACCAAACACCCTTAAATGATCCAACTTTGGGTGCTTCTTATGCAGCAATTAAAAAGGACATTTCCCTTTCAAGACATCTGAAGGCAGCTTGTTGATCAAGTACACAGCTGTTTTCATACAGTCTCCCTAGAACTTCACTGGTATATCACTTTGGAATCTTAAAGCCCTTACTACCTCTAGAATGTGTCTATGCTTTCTCTCCACAACCCCATTTTGTTGTGGAGTATATGGACAGCTGCTTTGATGCACAATACCTAGAGATGCATACAGATCATTGCACTGAGTGTTGAAAAACTCTAGGCCATTATCTGTTCTTATATTCTTAATCATTGTGTTAAATTGGTTTTTAACCAAGGCAACGAAGTCTTTCAACACTACTATTACTTCACTTTTTGAATGCAACAAAAAAATCCAAGTATATCGACTGAAGTCATCCATTATTGTCATAAACTAATGCTTTCTGTCATAAGTGGGGACCTTATATAAACCACATACATCAGTATGCACAAGTTGAAAAATACTATCAGACTTACTACTACTATTTGAAAACTTGAGCCTACTTTGTTTAGCTAGTGGACAGACTTCACATAGCTTGTGCAAGCCTGTATCAACTTTATTCTTTAGTTCCTCTAGTTGTTGTAAAGTACTTGATGGTGCATGTCCTAATCTTTTATGCCACAATTCAGTATATGTTGTCTCCTCCTTTAGAAATCTTAGCTGCTACCACTCTTTCCCTTCTAAGTATGTAGAGTCCACTATCTTCTTTACCAATCCCCAACACCTTGCCATTGTAGATCCCGTGAAACACACCGAAATCAGGGTAGAAGGCAACCCAACAGCACAACTCTTTAGTTAGCTTGGATAATGAAAGTAGGTTGAATTTAAAATCTCGCACATGTAATACATTTGTTATCTTTTGTTTTCCCAGAATAAGGTCATCTCCTGAGTGTGTGATCTTTGACTTATCTCACGTAGTTATCTCTACTCCATAATTGTTATCACCTTCATTTTCTTTAAGACTTTCTAATACTTCTTTGCAGAATGCTATGTGATATGATACACTTGTATCTATTATCCAATCATATACCCTACTATTGGATACATTAGATAGCAATGACACTATACCTGTCATGTTTGATGAACTCGTTGCAGCAACAGATCCTTCTCCAATAAAGGATTTGGTCAGCAAATTGACTAAGTGTTTGTAGTTCTCCTCTGTCATGAAGCTTCCTGGAATCTGCACTTTGACATCTGTTTCTCCTTCTGTATTCACATTGTTAGCATAAGGTTTGTATCCACCTGGTTGCCCTTTCTTTTTGCTCTTGAAATCAGCTGGATACCCTATTATTTTGTAGCAATTTTCCTTTAGATAGCCTTTATACCCACAGAGTTCACAGATTAGCCCAGGTTTCTTCCCTTTGAACATTTGTCCTCTACCTGCTAACATAGTCAAGGATCCTTATTTGTCTCAACTACTCTTAATGCTATTTGACTTTCCTCTTGTAATGCAGCTGAATATGCTTGATTTACAATGAGTACTGGCCTCCTTTGAAGAATATTGCTTCTTATCTGGCTATAACTCTCATTCAGTCCCATAAGGAACTGCAATAACCTCTGTCTCTCCAAGTGATCGGCATATGGCCTTGATTCATCACTGTCACATGAAGGCAAGGGTGCCAATATGTCCAATCATCCCACAAATCTTCATCTTTGAAAAATAAGAGGTAATTGAATATGCACTTTGTCTAAGTGTCGCAATTTCTGCCCAGAGTTGATAAATCCTAGTCAAATTGTCTTTGTCAAACATCTCCTTGAATTTATCCCAAACCTTCCTTGCACTAGCAGCATACATAATACTCGGTACCAATTTACTTGATATTGTGCGACTGATCCATGAAAGTACCACTGCATTACACATGTCCCATTATACAGCCAACTAGCCTCTGTATGAGCTCTTAGGGCAGCTTCCATCCACAAACCCTAGCTTGTTCTTCACCAAGAGTGCCACGTTCATCGCCCTACTCCACAGTGCATAGTTCTCTGGCCTTGTGAGCTTTAGCGATATCAGTGATGTTCCAGGTATGTCAGAATCTCGAAGGAAAAGTGGACGATTATGAGGTAATTGATCGACCTTGCTGTCCGCCATTGTTGAGCTTCAATTTTCAAGAGCAAGCTTCAGATCTACACAATTACGGTGATCGCTGCTCTGATACCATGCCAATTTACAGGAATCAAGCTATGAAGATTGCTAATTGACAGTGAATTATAGAGAGAGAAATCTAGAGAGAAAGAGGAGAGAAAATGATATTTTTCAGTATGATCGTTAACACTGTTGGTGTCACGACCCAAAATCCACTAGTCGTGATGGCACCAAACCAATCGGCTAGGTAAGCCAATTAACAATTATCCATTTCCATGTAACTTAATAATCCATTAAACAAAGGAATTATCTAAATCTTATACATTTCCCAAGGACTGGTAGTACAAATCATGAGCTTCTAAGAATAGACTCCACAAAGCTGATATGAAGAAAATACATCTTCTGTTTTAAAAGTACATAAATAGAGTTTTATAAAGCTAAGGCTACCATGAACAAGAGGCAGCTACATCAAGGACGCAGGTACACCTTCAAATCCAGCAACCATCGAACACATCAACATCGGCATCCGGTATCTGCATGCAATGTGCAGGAAGTGCAATATGAGTACAACCGACCCCATGTACTCAAAAAGTGACAAACCTAATCTCAGGTTGAAAGTAGTGATGAGTTAGAACATAGGTCGGGTCCAACACCAATATCCAATAACAGTTTATAACAATGTAAAGCATATAAATAAGGAAGTAACTCAGAGATAAAGTGTTTAGCTTTTTCACAGTTTTCCCAAAATGGTTCTACCTTTCAAGAGTATTAGTGAAAACTCAAATTCTTTACCGAAAACGTCGTGAAATATGAGATAGTTTAATAAAACTATATTTTCTTTTCCAAAACCCCTTTTCATAGTAAATAAGATGCTTTATTTCTTTCCAGATAGCAAGTGTGAGATACCCCTCTATGACCACATATCACTGTATGTAAAATGTCATGAATGACGGGATATCGTACAGCATGAGGAAAATGTATCTATATGCATGTATGTCATATATGCATGCCAATGTCATGTATCTCATAGATGAATCATGTACGCACATTCTTAGAGTACTCAACCTCACTATATCACACCTTCCACTCATCATAATCAACCACTCGGTACTGTATATGGCCCATACGGCTCAGGGAAAATCCATATATATATATATATATATATATATATATATATATATATATATTACTGACTTTAAGTCACCTAGTACCTAGGAAACAGGCCAATCCAACCTTATGGAGAAGATCCATGTTCATACCAAGGGAAGATCCATCCCTGAATGTAATCAAGTACTTCGGACAAATCCATGTCCAGGGAAATCCATCCCTCAATAATATCATCCGCGCTCACTNCTAGTACCTAGGAAACAGGCCAATCCAACCTTATGGAGAAGATCCATGTTCATACCAAGGGAAGATCCATCCCTGAATGTAATCAAGTACTTCGGACAAATCCATGTCCAGGGAAATCCATCCCTCAATAATATCATCCACACTCACTGGGGTGTGTAGACTCCGAAAGGGCTCCTTCAGCCCAAGCGCTATAACAAGCCAACGAAGGCATAATCAATAATCTGCTGAGGCATGCAGCACGATCCCATAACTATCACTCATAATCAGGCTCTCAGGTTCACTCAGTCATCAATCTCTCTAGTCTTACCCATGGGCTCACAATATCATGAAAACGTATCCGAAATAATGATATGATGTATCAATAAGTAACAACGGAGACTCAAATATGATATGAATGCATGAATGTGACTAAGTACAAAATATCAATGAATTCAATGAGATAACAGCAAGAAACGACCACTATGAGTCCCAACATTATCAGCATAAAACCAAAGCATGATATCTATCATGATGTACAACTCATTTATCTTATCACATGGTGAAAAGACAGATATCAATAAAATAGGGCCACTATTCAGTGCCCTAGAAACAACAGAGTCACAACTCACAAGATGCATGCCCACAGGCCCGTCACCTAGCATGTGCGTCACCTCAACACCAATAACATAATTCAGGATTTTATACCCTCAACACTAATTTTAGAAGAGTTACTTATCTTAAACAAGCCAATTCCGATACTGAGCAAGCCAAGCGATGCTCCAAGAATCCCATCACGCATGTTCCGACCTTCGAATGGCTCGAAACTAATAAAAAACAACTCAAATGCATCAAACAATACTAAAGGAACCAATTTCAATCGAAAAAAGTCGAATCATTAATCAAAAACCCAAAATCGGCCAAAAAAGCCCAACCTAGGACCGCACCTCGAAACCCGACAAAACTCACAAAATCCGTCAACCCATTCAATTACAAGTTCAACCATACTGGTTTCACTCAAATCCTACTCTGAATCGGTGTTCAAAACTCAAAAATTCATATTATGAAACTTTAGGTCAAAACCCTCAATTTCTTCTTTAAAATTCATCAACCAAAAGCTAAATCGAAGATAGATTCATAAAATATAACCAAAACCGAGTAGAGAACACTTACCCCAATTCATATGCTGAAAAGCGCCTCAAACAATTGCCCAATTCCGAGCTCCCCAACTCAAAATATGTTAAATGCACAAAACCCTCATTTTAACACAGTTCTGCCTCGTTTATTGTGCCAAAAGATCTCTAAACTTACTTTTGATACCTTCAATGGATTTCTTGTGAAATTCTAGTCAAGTTCGGCTCTTGAATCACTCCATTTGAACTTATATTGAAGGAGATATGTTGGTTTCAACATTTGGAAATAGTACAGATTTTTAAATACGCAGCAGTGACAATTTCGTAATTAATCTGGCAACCCAAATTCTTAGTAAAATGACCATAAAATTCACATACGTTGTCCAAATTTGACGATTCTTTTTTTCTATGGCTCCGTAATTACAATACGGATCTAATGTTTCGATAAAAACATAAATCAGAGCTCATTTGTTTAATGTGGTACCATTTATGATTGAAGAAACGACATCAAAACATAAGAAAAACGAGCACAACACAACCTAAACCTATCTGAAACTCACCTGAGCCTCTCAGGACCCCGTCTAAACATATCAAAAAGTTTCATATAATAATACGGACCTACTCGAGGCCTCAAAGCACACATAATAATATCGAAGCGACGAAATGCACCTCAAATCAAACTTAATGAACTTTCGAACTTTTGACTTCCAAAACTCACGCCGAAACATATCAAATCAACTTGGAATGAACCTAAATTTTGCACACAAGTCCTAATATATCATACGGAGCTACTCGTGCCCCCAAACTACAAATCAAAGTGCAAATGCTCAAAACGACATGTCGGGTCATTACATTCTCCCACACTTAAACATATGCTCGTCCTCGAATGTGCTCAGAGTTGTTTCAAAAGCCATCAAATCGTCGTGTTACCTCACTATGCATATACCTGGGGGTAATCCCACATCATCTTATCCCATATAGATCTGATAACACAACATAAGTGAAATTTCTTAATCCAACCTAGCCTATAAGCCCTAGAATCCAATTTCCACATCCGAAATTTTCTATAAGATCACAATCTCGCATCTACACACTGAATAAGTCTGAACAAGCCGTATCAAGCCATTGTCATAACTCAAGATAAAATCATATGATATACCATATAACTCAAACATTCATAGCGATAACTTCTAATCACAGTAGCTGCTCAAAACAACCCAATACCGGTAATAAACCTCTTATCAAACAAAGTCTCATTCTAACTCCTTCATATAATTCCAATGTTGAAAGAAACACACAGAAACTCATAACCATACATCACATTAACAAGTTGTGGAACTCCCTCTCCTTCGATAGGAACAGTAGAAATTTTCTAAGCCGATCAGCAACAACATCCTTCCAAATATACCGCAATCAGATTCGATAGCACCCATTCTAGGTACGATGACCTCATCACATCCAACACGACCACTCTAGTGACATGATACATCAATACAATCCAAAGCCATAACGTGTGCAATTCGTGCACCCAATAGCAACATCCCAAATGTACTCAATCATGGAAAATGACATCAAACAAGAGAACCTTTCCGCAAGCTCAACGGGTATCACCACGATGCAATGCTAAGAACCCATCACACACCACAGAACCAAAACTCACGAATCTATCACAAAGGGTCATACCTCTACATAACTCCGCTACAATGTGTGATCCCATCCAAATGCTGGTCTGTATTATATACCTCGAGCCACCCTGCTCAAAACCCATAACCATTCGAAATTCGACATCAAGAACCCAAAGTGCATTACCACAACCACGGAGAGCAATTAACACAATGCCACCATCCGAAAAGAACATAGACAACACACAATCAATCACGCAATACTCGAATACTCATCTTGCTCAAATTCCTACTATAAGCCCAAATAGAACTGCATCATGTGTGCATATAAGCAACGATTCACAACTCCTCGTAACATAAAAGAGTAACTCACAGATCATTTTAGAACAAAAATAAGTTCAACAACAATTGAATGGCACCTCTCCCAACAATAGCAGTTCGGAGTCAACCAATGGAACCCCAAATCAACTCTAGTCATCCACAAATAGATAAATAATCATCCGAAAGTCAACAATGACTGAATCATAACACATACTATCATCTGTATAGCTTTGTCCACATCTTCACAGTCCACAACCACAAAACAATCTATTTTTGAGAACTCCCGTTCTCCAAATTCATAGAACACATAAATCACCTTATCTGATCCCTACTACACCACTCGAATGTCTAACACATCTCTCATACACGATCATCCCACGAGGAATACTTATATATTTCTTTTGTGCCATATAGAAAAATCTGAATATCAGCAATCAATCAACCAAGCGAGTATCACAATACCAATAAAGCATTCATAAATCAAAATATAGTGCCCCTTCTGAAACTTACACTCTCATCAATCCATAGCTAATAGTAATATCATTTAGTCATCTGAAACTGTCCATGTTGCCTGAGGACTCATGACATCCCCTTTAAAACTGAACCGTGATCTTACACATGTAAATCTCAATCCTACACAACATATTGCATATATTATGCCATCATACGAAAAATATAAGAACTTTGTAATCCACTCCGAGTCATAAGCAACTACTCACTCAATTAGCAAAGAACTTTCCATTTGATTTCATCAGGAGAAATTCACTATACATCACATGCTCCTCATGCCAGTAGAAAATATACATCTCAAACTATGGTAGAAACCATCGAGAACTCTCCGAAACCCATTGGCACATAACCAAACCATCAGAACTAAATCTCTCTAACTCAACCAAGCCACGTAGGCCACCAAAACCCAAGAGTACCACCACAAAACACCTGTAGAAACTCACTACCTTATAAGGACCACAAAAGCCAATCGTATCCATTACCATGCCGATCCAACCTACTACCCAGTTGTCCTATTTATCCTAGTTCCTTCTGAATTACCTTCAAATTGATACTTTTCCTTGCCATAATACTACAGTTCTCAACCAAGACTAACCACACGAGACATTAGCATAAAGTAAACCGCCCTAAGGCTCACAAGCCGTTGAATGCTCTCTTAATCACCCTAAAAGTACCACAACCGAGATACCCACTCTGAAGAGACTTTCGTGAATTTAAAGCTGTTCATTTTACCTTCCTGATACTGAATGTAGAATCCATAATGATATAGAAATACTGTGAGTCTCGACACAATCCAATGTATCCCTCCGATTCTAGCCATGTACAAATCTGCAAAATTCTCAATTGCCACATTTAGATCTTACATCCATTAGAACCATTCTTGAGAGTCTTCCACTCTACTCAAATTTCAATTAAACTGATCAAACGAACCGAATGACATGTTCCCCATTAGCACAACAACACCCAAGGAAGTAATCCACTCTTCTAAGCAATCAGGTGAATCCCTACTTCATGCACACTACATCTTTTAAAAATAACAACTCAATCATCCAATGTTTCTCATATACCCATAAAGCATGACACAACCCTTATCCAAAATTTCCCTTACTCGAGTCATCCTCGATCTCAACCTCTATAAGCCATAACTGATTTACCAGTATACCTTAAACTGAAACCAATACAACACATAATCGTGCAATCAACCCGTCAATAGCAAACTCCCCCACTTGGCTCACAGCTAAGGAATAAAGCATCTGATAACTTAGAATAGCCACCCCTATACTGTCATAACACAGTAATAGGATTCAACTAAATCCTTTCTAAGATCATGTAACACAAACCATATAATACCTTAAATCATTTGCAAATCTCGTATTCATCCTCCTAACAGTCAAGCCAACTTTCACAAGCGATCCAAACTCAAATTGCACTAATATAATTCACTAGTAAAAGATAACTCTCAACAAAACAACATAGGAATCACACAACCTCAGGACATCCCGTAGGATATAATCCACCTACTTAGCCTCAAACTGACATCTTTCTATACCCTTCTACAATCATAACTATTATGCAACCACTTAATCTTCCTGAGTCTAAACTCATGTTACGACATGAAAATCTACTCCACTCCGCAACTAAACAACATGAAAAGGATCCTTCAACACACCCATAACTCGAGACAATACATCAAATCAAGATGAAAATCAAGCACCAAATAGTTATTTCTACAACTCAAGCAAACCCTTCTTGTCACAATCAAATCATATGAACATATCTCACAGTCACATCATACTCATCACGTAGCCATCCAACCATAAATTCCACTAATAGGGACACTTCCAGACATTTAAATCCAAAAGCACATGCTCACACAATCAATACCTCAGTGCTCAAGCTACAGTCAAAACCCAGCCTCAAGTCCTCCAAACTGGCCCACCATCAGCACACCGAAATTACATCTCGCACCTCTTTCATGGAATCATAAGCTGTCGATGCACAGATGATACCAAGAGCTCAAGTGCACATACAAATACGTGGAAGGAATTCAAAGGATTACGCTTCAAGCTGAATTAGTGTCGCACAATAAGGAAAGAAAGATGGGAAGTACATCCTAAATTCCCTGTAGCCTCTCGAAGATAGGTATGGACGTCATCATACCGATCCGCAAGACTCTACTAGACACTTGCTCATGACTTGTAGAACCTATAAACCTAGAGCTCTGATCATCTGTCACGACCCAAAATCCACTAGTCGTGATGGCACCTAACCCAACCCGCTAGGTAAGCCAATTAACAATTATTCATTTCCATTTAACTTAATAATCCATTAAACAGAGGAATTATCTAAATCTTATACATTTCCCAAGGAGTGGTAGTACAAATCATGAGCTTCTAAGAATAGACTCCACAAAAACGATATGAAGAAAATACATCTTCTATTTAAAAATACATAAATAGAGTTTTAGACTACCATGAACAAGAGGCAGCTACATCAAGGATGCAGGTACACCTTCAAATCCAGCAACCATCGAATGCAGCAACATTGGTATCCGGGATCTGATGTAATATGCAGAAAGTGCAGTATGAGTACAACCGACCCCATGTACTCAAAAAGTTACAAACCTAACATTAGGTTGAAAGAAGTGACGAGTTGGAACATAGGTCGAGTCCAACACCAATATCCAATAACAGTTCATAACAATGTAAAGCATATAAATAAGGAAGTAACTCAGAGATAAAATGTTTAGCTTTTTCACAGTTTTCCCAAAATAGTTCCACCTTTTTCATGAGTATTAGTAAAATTTAAATTCTTTACCGAAAACGTCGTGAAATATGAGATAGTTTAAAAAACTGTATTTTCTTTTTCAAAATCCCTTTTAATAGTAAATAAGATTTTTATTTTCTTTCTAGATAGCAAGTGTGAGATACCCCTCTACGACCACATATCAATGTGTGTAAAATGTCATAAATGACGGGATATCATACAACATGAGGAAAATGTATCTCTATGCATGTATGCCATATATACATGCCAATGTCATGTATCTCATATATGAATCATGTACGCACACTTTCAGAGTAATCAACCTCACTATATCATACCTTCCACTCATCATAATCAACCACTCGGTATTATATATGGCCCATATGGCCAAGGGAAGATCTATCCCAGAATATATACATTACTGACTATAAGGCACCTAGTACCGAGGAAACATGCCAATCCAGCCTCATGTTGAAGATCCATCTCCATACCAAGGGAAGATCCATCCCTGAATGTAGTCAAGTACTTCGGACAGATCCATGTCTAGGGAAATCCATCCCTCAATAATATCATCCGCGCTCACTGGGGTGTGTAGACTCCAGAGGGGCTCCTTCAGCCCAAGCGCTATAACAAGCCAACGAAGGCATAATAGATAATCTGATACGTCGTGAAGCCCAATCCCATAACTGTCAATCATAATCAAGCTATCGGCCTCACTTAGTCATCAATCTCTCCAGTCTTACCCACGGGCTCACAATGTCATGAAAACTGATCTGGAACAATGATATGATGTATCAATAAGTAGCAACTAAGACTCAAATATGATATGAATGCATGAATGTGTCTGAGTATGAAATATGAATGAATTCAATGAGATAACAGCAAGAAACGACCACTATGGGTCCCAATATTATCAGCCTAAAACCTAAACATGATATCTAGCATGATGTATAGCTCATTTATCTTATCACATGGTGAAAACACATATATCAATAAAATAAGGCCACTATTCAGTGCCCTGGAAATAACAGAGTCACAACTCACAGGGTGCACGCCTATACGCCTGTCACCTAGCATGTGCGTCACCTTAACACCAATCACATTGCACATAATTCATGATTTTATACCCTCGGCACTAAGTTTAAAAGAGTTACTTATCTTAAACAAGCCAATTCCGTCATCGAGCAAGCCAAGCGATGCTCCATGAATCCCATCACGCGCGTTCCGACCTCCGAGTGGCTCGAAACTAATAAAAAACAACTCAAATACATCAAACAGTGCCAAAGGAACCAATGCCAATCAAAAAAGTTTGAATTTTTAATCAAAAGCCCAAAATCGGCCAAAAAGCGCAATCCGGCCCCGCATCTCGGAACCTGACAAAACTCACAAAATCCATCAACACATTCAATTACGAGTTCAACCTACTAGTTTCACTCAAATACTACTCCAAATCGGTGTTCAAAACTCAAAAATTTCATATTATGAAACTTTAGGCCAAAACCCTCAATTTCTTCTTTAAAATTCATCATCCAAAAACTAAATCGAAGATTGATTCATGAAATATAACCAAAACCGAGTAAAAACACTTACCCCAATTCATATGCTGAAAGGCACCTCGAAAAATTGCCCAATTCCGACCTCCCCAACTCAAAATATGTTAAATGCACAAAACCCTCATTTTTAACACAGTTCTGTCTCGTTTCTTGTGCCAAAAGATCTCTAAACTCACTTTTGGTACCTCCAATGGATTTCTTGTGAAATTCTAGTCAATTTTGGCTCTTGAATCACTCCATTTGACCTTATATTGAAGGAGATATATTGGTTTCAACATTTAGAAACAGGTCAGATTTTTAAATACGCAGTAGTGACAATTTCGTAATTAATCTGGCAACCCAAATTCTTAGTAAAATGACCATAAAATCCTTATACGATGTCCCAATTTGACGATTCTTTTTGCTATGACTCCATAATTACGATACAGATCTAATGTTTCAATAAAATCATAAATCGGAGCTCATTTGTTCAATGTGGTACCATTTATGCTTGAAGAAACGACGTCGAAACATAAGAAAAACGAGCGCAACACAACCCAAATCTATCCGAAACTCACCTGAACCCCTTGGACCCCGTCTAAACATACCAAAAAGTTCCATATCATAATACGGACTTACTCGAGGCCTCAAAACACATATAACAATATTGAAACGACGAAATGCACCTCAAATCAAACTTAATGAACTTTCGAACTTTCGACTTCCAAAACTCACGGCGAAACATATCAAATCAACTCGGAATGAACCCAAATTTTTGATTAGATGAATCCTTTTTTTATCATCATTAGTGCCCCATATAAAATCTCTCTGAATTTTGTCAATATACTTTTGAGTTTATTTTGGTAGAAGTGTATATTGCATATAGTAATTCGGAATAGAGTTGAGACAAGCCTTGGCCAGTGTTGTGCGACCTGCTATGTTCATAAATCTCATTTTCCAGGATGTAAGTCTGGACATCATTTTTTCAATTATGAAAAGGTAGTCATTTGGTCTGGGGTTTCTATTAAGTATAGGAAAGCCTAAGTAAATGCAAAAGTGGTCACTTTTTTTTATGCCCAACATATTAGTGATTCCTTTGGTAATGTCAGGCGTACAATATTTGGAGAAAAGAACTTTGGATTTAGAGTGATTTACACTTTGCCCGAAAAAGGGAGCAAAACAACTCAATAGTTGATTTAATAGCTAAGCAGGATTTTGTGTTAGCTTTAGCCATAAAAGTTAAATCATCCGCAAAAAATAAATGGGAGAAACTAGTACTTTTCCTACCAATTGTGATAGTATCCCAGTTATGGATGTCAACTTGATACTCAATGTATCTAGTTAACAGTTCAAGGCTAAGAATGAAGATGTAGGGAGATAAAGGATCTCGTTGACGTATACCCCTACTTAGTTCAAAAAAGGATGTGGTGGAGCCATTGACTAACACTGCTATAGAGCTGGTTGTGATACAATTCATAAGAAGTCTAGTGAATTTTGGGTGGAAGTTAAAGAATCTAAGGGCACGATAGATAAAAGACCATTCAATCCGATCAAAAGCTTTCTCTAAGTCTATTTTAATCAACATGTGACCTTCCTTCCCTTGTAATTTCCTAAGGTTGGAGACTAGTTCTTGGATGGTTAGGGCATTATCCGATGCTCTCCTATTTTGCATAAAACTAGTTTGAAAGGGGCTAATGATTTTTTCAAGGAAAGGTTTGATACGATTTGCCAAAATCATAGTAATGACTTTATAGATCGTATTACAAAGTCCGATCGGGCGAAAATCTTTAATGTTATTAGCATTTGGAATTTTGGGAATTAAACAAAGGAATGTTTTGTTAATATCACTAGGTAATTTTTGAGTATTGAAGATATCATGACAGATTTTTGTCACTGCGTGACCCATAATTTTCCAATATTTTTGGTATAAAAAGGGATGGAGACCATCCGGCCCCGGTGCTTTAAATGGCTTAAAAGAAAAGATAGCCTTTTTTATCTCAATATCAAGTAATGGAGCATCCAGTGAAGTAAGATCAAGTTGTGTATTACCAAGGGGAATATTATTAGGTTCTTTCCAATTGGTGCTAACTTGAGAGGTGGTGAAAATTTTTGTAAAGTAGTTAAGGACATGTGAGGATAAAGAGGCATGGTCATTTATCCAGTTACCTGATTCATCCTTAAAAAGGAGAATTTTATTTCTTTTACGTCTATTTGTGGCAGAGATGTGAAAAACTTTTGTATTCGCATCCCCGTTATTAAGCCACATAACTTTGGATCTAAGTTTCCAATAATCCTCCTCAATCCTAAGAATATCATTATAATCCCTTTTAAGATTTTGTTCTAGGTTTTGGAGGAAGATGCTACTTGTGTAATTTCTAGAATTTTGTATACCTTGAAGTCTTGCAAGTATTTTTCTTTTTTTTCCCCATTATATCACCAAATGTTTTGTGTTTCCAGATTTTAACATTTTGGATGAAGGAATTACTAGCCGCAAGATAGTCTGAATTAGTCCAATTTTTTCTTACGACATTGACAAAATCTGGATGTTTGCACTAGAAAGTTTCCAGCCTAAAAGGTTGGTTATAGTGACCACATTTTTTTGGGATCAACTCAACTAGGATAGGGGAGTGATCAGAGTGAGTCTTTGGTAAATGAAAAATGGAGTGATTTGGGAATAGGTCACACCATGAATCATTTCCTAGAGCCTTATCAAGCCTTTCCATGATCAAACCTTTATTCCTATGTCTGTTATTTGACCAAGTATACTTACAACCTTTAAAACCTAGGTCTTTGACATTGCACTTATCTAACTTAGAC